GTGTCCCTTGGTTGCTAGCTAAATTCAGGTCTCTCTATGCTTCTTTTAACCTCCTTTTGACCTTTCAGTTACTGATCAGTTTTTATTACTGAGTTCCCTCCTTTTAACTTACATTCAGAAGTTTTGTCACACTCAGGGGACAAGAGAGAATGGTTTGAGATCACAATTGCATGACATAAAGTTCATTTACCACTTACATATAATTATATCCATTTTGGAATCAATCAATTTGATCACCTAATTTCATTTGTCAAACATTTTATTGAAATGAAAGAAAATGAAAAATTTTTAATTAATTTAACAGCTGAAGTCTGAAGTCTTATTGGTTGTTTTAGTGTGGAGCTCTATGTTAAAATTGCTTGGCAGAGGAAAAGGTGCAGTCGAGAGCAAAACTTAGTGTAACTTGTGTTTAGATTGTTCTGTTGATGATCAATTTGATGGTTAGGATAACAAGTGATTTCAAAATGGATGTACTTTGTAGAGTAATAAGAGGTACTCAGTTGTGCAGTCTTAGTAAACTGTTTTCTTGTGTATCTTTCATTGTTTTCAGGTATCATTTACAACAAAAATATATCACCCTAACATAAACAGCAATGGTAATATTTGTCTTGATATATTACGATCGCAGTGGAGTCCAGCACTAACAATTTCTAAGGGTAAGATTACTGAAAGGCCTATTGAAAAAACATTAGCCTGAGTTATGCTGAATTGTGATAGTCTTCTTGGATAGTGTGACAATATTTATTTTTTTCTCTCAGAAATGCAAATTTTTCTCAAAGTTGCCTTTTGGCAACCTTGAACCAAAGTAACAGGTAGATTATTGGTCAGTCATGGAAATAAACTCTTTTCACTAAAATGTATGATTGGTTAAACTGTTGACTACACAATGAAACTTTGTCTTTGTAATAACTGAAATGGTCCTTTAACTGTCACCCTCAAATTGGGGACACACATGTCAAATCAAGCCTTAATTCTCAGACAACTAATGATATCAACTGAATTAGAGGTTGTAGATTTAAGTCATGGGTGTATGCTTCTCTTGTGTAGAAGGAAGGCTAGAAATGCTGACTGGCCGCAGCTTGGTATCTGTCACATGATCACAGGTTGCCAAATTCAGGACCTTAAATTTGTAGTTATTTTAGTGACCAAGCTGATTGATGCTTGATGCATTAATGCTCTGAGAGAGTATTTGCATAACTTTGCAATTAACAATTGGTTCATACGTCAGCGTGTGTTCATTGAGATATGAAGCATGTGGGAAGTTTGGAGAGCATGAAAGATGCGTAAGAGTTGCTCGAGGTGTAGCCAAGAGCAACTCTAGCTCCTTGAGTGCTCTCCAAACTTCCCAAGTGCTTCATATCTCGATTAATGCACAGATGACAAATGAACCAATTGTTTTATAACATTTTCAACCCTAAGCAATTTTTTTCTCAAGGGATTTGTTTGCTGACATCATGAGCATGCACAATAGGAATATGAAGCATGCTTGCGCAATTGAATTGATTCGACAAATTTACTGGCTATGTTATAAAGTTATTTGACCTATGATATTTCTTTTTTGTTGCAGTTCTTTTGTCAATATGTTCATTGCTTACAGATCCAAATCCAGATGATCCATTAGTGCCAGATATAGCACGTCTATACAAATCAGACAAGGGTAAATATGAAACTGAAGCTAAGGAGTGGACTCGGAAGTACGCCATGTGAAGTTTGGTGGATTCTTGTTTCTGTCTCTCCTTCTGTATTGTGCTAGAAGTAAAGTCTTGCTTTTGTCTTAAAACTGTCTATCCTTATCTCTACAGATGTTCCTCATTAATCTGTAAGTTATTGTTAGTACTTTGTATGTACTATACCATTTGTACAGTTATCTGACGTCATGGGTAATGTCTCTATTTCATCAAAACTTGAATGGGGTATCCTCAAATAATTTATGGTAGCATCAACCTGTGATTACCGTAAAGCTTTGGCCAAAAAAAAAAATTTAAAAAGGTATTAATCACAGCAGCGAAGTCTTTTAGAATGCATTAGGTAGACATTAATACAGAGGCAGTACCAGAGTTTTAATTGTGTGCATCAAGTAAATATTGTAGGAGATGTTTAAAAGATATGCAATTGTGAATTGTAAACTCATGTTTACTATGTCTTGGTCAGTTGCAGGAGAATTTTTTTCTAATACATGCGCGGTTGTTTTTGGTTGTATTTTTTCAAAATTTTAAGCTTGGTTGCCAGTGTTATTAATGGCTTTCAGAGGCTATTTATGACTCAGTCTTCAAAGCTTGTTGCCATATGCACAAATAATGAATTAGCACCCATTTGATTGTTTACTGGACTATGCACAAAGCCTCACCTACTGAATTTCTGCAAAGTGGTTTTCCATCATGCTGGATCATGTAACTGCCAACTTAGGTTATGTGGCAAGAGCAAGAACAAAATACTCTCAGTGGTGATGAGGGTTTGAGACTAGCCCCAGTTTGTTTTGATAGCAGCCTTCCTTCCCCCTCCACCCTCATCCTGTGGAAGTATAAAAAATTTTGTCTCAAGACAGGACAACTTTACTTGTGATCCTTCCTCACACAATTACCTTGGTTGGTGGCTCCTTGATCACACTTTTTAATCCAGTGATTTGGTGGAGAAAGTAAAGATCTTTTGTACTGGAGTCAGTCAAAGTGTGCATTATCTGTTTGCCTTCGTGTTAATTTTTTTGAAAATGGCCTCAAATGTCAATATGCTGCTCTGAATATTGATTTTTGAAATTACATCTTTTATTGGAAGTGAATTTTTTTTGTGACTTGAGTCTTTTCCATTTGTACATAATTTACACTTTCAGAATTTTCATGTAAACTGTATTCAACACCTGAATTCTCCTCAGAAAATGGACTTACAAGCCACTTGGTATCTAGTATAATATAACAAGTTGTGAATACACATTTTTGTGATTACCAGTAGTAAGGAGAAGTTAGGTGCTTGTCTGTTGTACTGAAAATATCATCACCCACTTTTTTTACTATTGAAGTTTTGTATTGTAAATCCTCTTTGTATCAGTATAAATTGGCAGAATTGTAGTGTATAACTGTTAATAAATATTATGATGTATCTCCTGTTATGTTTATTTTAATAATAAAGCTCTCTGCAGTTGCAATACCTACATGTAATGTTATGCAATTACTGGACTGTATTTTTGTCACCTACACATATCAATGAATTGTCTGTAGCTAGCAGATGATATAGCAATACCTTTTTGGTCTGCAATGAACCTTAGTGAACCATATATCAGAAATCCTATCCCTTTCAATGTGATGATATTATTCCATTTTTCTTACATTATATCTGTTTTGGGATCACAACTTGCAAGCAGTCCATCCATGGTGGTTTGCTCTCAGCCTTTCAGTTTTTTCTTGTACTTATTTCTTTGTTGTTTATGTTGTTTTTGTTTCTTTTTTTCACTTTTGTGCCACTTAACCCCGCCATATTGGATCCATGAACACTGTGTAAATTGTGGCTTTCTTTTTTCTCACTTTGTGCATATTGATTTAGGAGAAAAAGGAAAGTTTGTGGAGAGGCTAATTCCCAGCATGGAGGAGGTATATTGGCATGAAGTTTTTTTTTTGGGTGGTGGGAGGAGGTGAGGATGGCAATAAAAAATAATAAATTGAGATGCTCAATCCATGGAAATTTTCCTTTCCTTCTCTATGCCAGGGCAAAGAAGGACACTTTCACTTGGCTTAGAAACAAATGTGCTGCCAACAGAGTATATCAAGGTTTTGAATCATAAAAAGGGTGTACTATTTTACCATGTAACAAACTCTTAGTGTTAGAGGTGCTGATAGTAGCACATGATCCACAAGTGAGATATGAGTACAAAGAAAGTTCTGTTTGTGGCTTCATGAGGTCAAAATGCCTCAATCAATCATTTTTTTCATGAACAGAGTAGTGAATAGTACACTGGTTATGTTTTCAGTAGGTTAGGCTTAAAGGGAAGGACCCTTTCTGAAGTGACCTTCTGATCTTTTGATTTTCAGTCATCTTATCTCCCGATTCTACCCTTTAGCTAATGGTTTTGCTCAATGTCGTCATTGTTGACCTTTGTTGACTGTATAGATTACTTCGGGTGAATCATGTGATTTCCCGCTTCTTTTCTTGTTGGGACGCAAAGCACTGGGTCGAGTAGTCAAAAATATTGAAAGCATGAGTGGTATGCAAGAGCCTGAAACTAGCTAGAATCCAAGATGGCGGATCGAGACGAAATGGACGAATACACCAACACAAAGCGGGTTCGTTTGTCATCTGACGCTTCTCTCGCTCAAAATATTAGCTATAGTGATGATAAAGATAAATTTGAACCAGAAAAAGATTTCAGATTGCAGTTCACGGCAACTGGAGAAGGTGATAATTCGAAAAAGCCGTCGTCTGAGTCTACGTCACGTGAACAACATGTCGGCCACGGAGGACAAGAAAGACGTCAAATTGACGACTTTCCGACTTGTTTCAGCGTAGAAGAAGGCTTAGATGATATTGATGAACATCATTATCAGCCTGTTGCCGGTAATTATAATTTATTTGCTCTTGAATACCCGCAAATTATTACATCAACACGGTTTTTGTATCCGCCATTTTGTTTTTGTTCGTCGGTTTCAAATGGTCGCTTTGAAATTTCACTTCTCAAATCAAAACTTGCTTTTCCTCGAAAAAGCATGCTACTCTGGGCGCTATTGGGAAACCGAAACCCTTGATTGTGGTAGTTAATAAATTTTCTTCACCCTCTGTCCCCTCCATAATGAATACAGCAAATTTGCACAAATTTGTAAGGTCTTAAGAAAGGATTTGCACTTATAGTCATATTGATCTTTGACAAAGAGTTGTGTCTGATCACAAACAAGAACAAAGAATTTCATTGTTATCAATTTCATGGTGAAGCCTGGTTACCAACTCAATATACATACCTAAGCTTCTCAACCTATTTTTGTATTTATTAACTTGTTTAAAAAGTACTATTCTTAAAAACACATCTTAGTTACATTTTAGTGTCAACAGATCCTACTGTATTTAATTAGGCAGGTCCACATCAGCCTTTCACTGACTTTTATTGACCTGTGTTGACAAAAAATGTTTTGTGTATGTATTGAAATCACTTTTGTGACTTGGAATGGTGTTAGAACTTATCCATGACAATCCATGACATTTAATTTCCCATTTCAATGAAAACAGATAACAAAATTATACTTACGGCAATATACCTCGCTTGTGTAACAGATTCGAGACTGACTTTGAGACTTGAGGTTTCTACCTGTGGGTGTATTAAGATTCAAATTTGGTCTTTCCTAATGATTATCATTCCTGGTATTTGCTATATTAGGTCCCATGGGATGGATTGAACAGCAGATGAGTCATGATGTTAATCCAGAGGATATTCTTACCTACATGATACCCCATGCTCAATTGGTAAAACTATTTTGCTTATACTTAACAACTTTTTGGCATGAATTTCCCATGGGATGTGTATGTTTCATTAACTGCTCAAAAATTAAAAAAAAAAAAACCCACTTTAACTTGCACCAACATTCCTATCCTTCTTCTTACAGTTATAAGTCTTTTCAGCTTGTATCTTCAGTGAAAATTAAGATAGTAATTAAAAAAAACTTTTTTGAGACCTTGTTATGAATTTATTGGCATTTCAGTGGTTTTTATACAGGTATGTGGTGAATCAACATAGATATTAGAGATGGAAAATGAATACCACTGTGCTGGTGGTAAGAGGCAAGATGATGAGATTTGGCCTTGTGGATTTCTCTCAGCTATTTTGCAAGTTTTTTTTATAACAGACTATTTGAGGTGACTGGTCAGATACAGCTCTATATACTTGTAGCACAAAATTGGTCTAAAAAATTGAATTGAATATGAAATGTCCTTCATTGTCTCTGGTTGAGTGGTCTTTATTGTTTTCAATGATATTTTCTTCATTTAAGCCTCCCAACCTCGATAAAACAACTTTATGGAAGATTATCATTGACATTCTTACTGAGCCCTCTCCAAGACAAAAGCTTGACCATTTTAATACTCTTGATGATGTTGTGGAACTTCTCAAAGGATCAAAGAACATAGTTGTTTTAACTGGAGCTGGGGTATGTAGCTTTTCTCTCTAGTAAGAGTACATTACTCTTACTAGTATTATATATTTTTTTCAATTCTTATACCTGTGTGCAACAACAATATTCAGTCAATAATTGTATATAGTTAGAGGTGAAATATGATGAAAAATAACTGACCAGTTGAGTTCTCATGCATGCCAACTTGGAAGCTGTTTGCAGAATAGCCATATAGTGCTTCTTTATGATGAAGTATGCAAATTTACCCTCTCAAGAGAATCACAAGGTTAAACCATTTACTGTATCTGTATGTTTATTTTTGTGCCACAAAAGCCACAGATATTGTTTGCAAAATAACTTAAACTGGTTAAGGTGACTTCACACTCTCACTGATTCATTCCCTTTTGTACTAACACTTCAAAAATCAATCATTGAATCCTCATTGGTTGCATAGTTTGAAGTTCATTTGTTTTTACTTTGGTTTGGGATTTAATTGACGTAGAATCCAGTAACTTTTTGCGCAAATTATCAGATTTACTGTCTGCATTGTTTATGATAAACTGGATATGTCGTATGATTACATTGCAGGTATCAGTGTCCTGTGGTATTCCAGACTTTCGCTCTCGAGATGGTATCTATGCTAAATTAAGTGTTGAATACCCTGACCTTCCAGACCCTCAGGCAATGTTTGACATTTCATTCTTCTGTCAGAATCCACGACCATTTTACAAGTTTGCAAAAGTAAGTTGCTCGTTGTAAATGTACTTTGTAATGAACAGTATAAGAACAGTCCATTAATTCATTAAATTAGATGAGAGTTTGCCCAGTTTCTGTAATCTAATGACTCATACAGGTAGGCATGGATGGATGTAATCAGGAGTCTGTCATCTTCCCTTTACACAGTGTACAAATGTACTATATACCATTTAATCCAAACACTTATAATACAGTGTAACAGTTCCAACAGTAAATCCATCTTTGCTTGTTATGAATCAAGGCAAATGAAAGCTTCTGTTTGGAAAGTTGGCTCATTGTTTAGGACCTGATTGGACCAGAAAATTGTCAATTTCACTAGGCCTAGCTATTTTCAATATTGTGACAGCAAACATTTAATGAGGATGACAGTTTCTTGCTCCACCTTATTTCTTTTGTTTATTTAACTTACTTCTTGTAGTGAGAATCGCTCACAATTCCCTTCTTACCCCTTTAACTCCCAGGAGTGATTGACATGTAACTTCTCCGTATGGTATCTATACATAATCCCGCAAATGGGTAAAGAGAATACTCAAACTTATCAGGTAGTAGTTGTTATCAGACCTGGGAATTAAAGGGTTAAGAATGAATTAAAAGTTACAAAACTTGTGCACTCTGTTTCAAACAAAGACTGCATTGTCTTAAACATCATGATCCTCCACCTTTAAGAAACAGGAACTGCTTTCATTGCAGGATGATATACTTATCATTTACCACTTGTGTTTTATAGCAACCACCACCCACTTTTCTGAAATTAGATTGCAAGTTATTTGAGGAATACATGATGGACTTTCATTTAAGCTCAAATTTTGAATAATACATAATTTGTGGAGGAGTGTGTGTTATTGCAAACCACCACAAATGCTATATATTTTTTTTGTTTGCTTGTTAACTTTTGATGCATTATTTTTACCCTAGGAAATATATCCAGGAAAATTTAAACCTTCCCGTAGTCACAGATTTATCAGGCAGCTAGAATTGAATGGCCAACTTTTGAAGAATTATACCCAGAATATTGACACTCTGGAACAGATTGCTGGCATATCAAGGGTCATACAATGTCATGGTTAGCTATAAGAGTGTGATTGGTAAAGCAGGGTGAAACATTTGGAGATTAGATAAGAAAAAATCAAATTAAAATAACATATGTTCCAATTTTCTAGTCCTTAAGTAACCCCTTTAACATCAATTTACTCAGAGGCTAGATTTTTCTTCCACTTTGAAGTCTTTTTAACTTGAGGTTTTCTAGACATTGTCAAATATTTTTCAAAGAAGCAAATGCTGGACAGGGTGCCTATTTCTACAGGACAACATATAATTTGTGGCATGTAAATGGTTAATTTACTGTGTAGAACTAGAAGATGCAAATAGATCTGCACATGCAACTAAATAACATGGCTGTCCAAGCTTTTCCTTTGCATAAAGTGATTAGGGGTGGAATGACATTCTTTCAAAAAACAATGCCTCAGTAATTTGTGGGGTCTCACTGACAATGTGCTCACACCCTGTACACTCATTGTTGACAAAATATGAATTAAGTGAATTTTTTTGTCCACTACAACAACTCAGTTACTTTTCTGTGGCCTAAAGATGTTGTGCCTTTCTGCTGTCCAGCAGGCATATCATAACTATCTGTAAGCTCTACCACTTGTATACACACAGGCAGAGAACTGAAATTTTTCTGTTATTAATACTTCAGTGATTTTTGGAACATAATGTGATAAATTACACTGTAACCACAGGGTCATTTTCTACTGCATCATGTACAAACTGCAAGTACCAGGTTTCTTGTGAGGCCATAAGAGATGATATTTTTAACCAGGTTTGTTTATTTCTATTGTTTTGTTGAAAGAAATTCTCATAGTAATTTTGTTGTAAACGGACAGCATTTTCTAATACATGACACACAATTCAAAAGGAGAAAAATAATTTTTTTACATGGCTTTTACTGAAACTTGGTTTGCCCCAACTGAAGCCTATTTGAAGGCATTTTTTGTACAGTGTTAGACTATGAGCAGTCCTTCCTTTTCGGCTATGTCCGAAATTGATTTTAACATTCTACAGGGAGCTCTTGTTGTGATGCCGATGTGTCCCTGAAGCTCTATAGGTGAGGGACTCAAAACTGACTCATGGAGCTCCCATGGTGCATTGATGACATCTAAGAGCTCCTCTCAATTTTTTTTCCTCTGATTTTTCTTTTGACCCAGCAACGGACTTGGCCAAAATGGAGGGACTGCTTGTAGTCCAGTACAATGTACTGGATGATTCAAACCCTGCTAGTGCTTTGCTAATAATTATGAATTAATAGGTGACGCTCTCTCAGAAAGCTTTTCTCAACCTGCTCAGTTACTTGGTTGTAACAGAAGGCAGCTTGTAGTTCTTCCAATGTGGACTCCTACATGTATCACTCCAAACTGCGAGAATGTACTAAAAAAGCAGCAGTCTGAATTTGAAATTCAACAGAGACTAATGTTGCACAAACTCAGCTCAAATGAAACCAAACAATATTTTTCTGTTTTGCACTCATCATTTGATTTACTGGATCTAAAAATGTGAGGACCTTTTGTTTAAATTTTTTGCTAGGATTGATTTTCTTTGTTATGTTGTAACCCTTGATTCCTGGCTTTGAAAGATGGTATAATGTCGTTGGTTATACCACTTGTTTTTGATGTTTTTTTTTGTCACCCCTAGGCATAGTCATGATGACAGAGTTTTAATGTGATTTTTTCAGATCATTCCTCTCTGCCCAAAGTGCCCTCAAGATGGAAGCTGTTTTGCTATCATGAAACCTGGTATCCTTTGAACATTTCAGCAAAACCGTATTTGACAGAGACATTGCAACATGATCTGCACATTAATAGGAAGTTGCATGTACATTTTTATATCAACAAAAGTGTGTTAAAAATCTGAATAGTACTTCACTTTTAAAATTCATATGAAACTACCTCTGGAATAGGCCAAAGAAGAACATTTTCCTCATTCTTAATATCCAGGATATTGATGACATCTTCCATTTTTGCACAACTGTTTGTTAGATCAGTAACAAGCAATGCATTTATGTTCCGTGTATTGTTCGATGCTTTGCTTTCAGTAAACCTGGACTGATGCTATCTGGGGCAATTTAGATCTTGCCTCCAAAAGAGCCTTATATTTATTAGGATGTAACTTTTAAGGACCTAGAGTAAGGTTGAATTTTACCCCTCCAATGTTGTGAACCTTGCTGTGGAACATTTGCATGCTCTTTACGAGAATTACACGAATCTGATTAATTCATACACTGCCACGGTGAATGTTTGTTTCAGAAGTGATGAGGCTAAAAGTAATAGTGAATGAGTTAACTTTCGCTCATGAGTATAGTTTTCAGAAAGTTACAGGTCTCTTGACTTGAGTATTCTAGATATAGTATTCTTTGGCGAGAGTCTTCCCTCTGAGTTCTATCACAACTTGGATGAGGATTCAGAAAAGGTATTTATATGTAAAATGATGGGTTAGTGTTTTTTGTGCAGAATATCACCTCATTTGTTTGTGGTAATATTGAGTGAACTACCTTCTGCGATCAGAAGGTGGAGTTAATTGCGCTCTGTCTATTATAGCGATCCCCCGATAAACATCTCATATACATAAACAATAGCCTTCACTTGGCTCGAAAATATGCTTGCATATTTTTTCGTGGACATTATGTGTTGCAAGAAGCAAACAGTTTTCCGGAAGAGAAACTCGTGGAAAACTATGAAACCCGGCCTAAGTGAGCAGAGTTGAAGTTTCTTGTGTCACTGTTCTGTTCTGTTGTAGGCTGATCTTCTGATAGTCATTGGATCGTCCTTAAAAGTTCGACCAGTTGCTCTGATTCCAAGTAAGTTTTTGTACAATTTATCTTGTCTTGTATATTTATTGTTGACTTAATCGGAAGCCGGTGTAAGCGTAGGATTCCGTCCACTAAAAAAAGGAAATTATTTGAGGGTTAATTGTCTTTTTCCTTCCTATTAACCGCTCACGATTCCGTCCACGAAATTAGGAAATTGATTGAGGGAGAACAGACTTTTCCTTCCTTTAAACAGCTCCCAGTTAAGTATTTGATAAACCATAATGTGTCTTGTAACGGCTCTTAGTTGTTGATGCTGACGATTTTTTCATGTGCAAAGAAGTATTGCTTCCCATTGATTTCATAGTTATCGAGAGTAGGATCGCATCAACTGTATATTTTAGTGCACAGTAGTGGCATTTGTGCTATGAGATGAAACCTTGGATTAAAGCGATAGAAATTTTAATGATGTATGAATTTCTATCACTTAGTGAATGGTAGTTTTGTTTACCTTGCTCACTATAGGTCACGTGCCACCTGAGGTTCCACAAGTGCTTATCAACAGAGAGCCGCTTAGACATCTGACATTTGATGTCGAGTTACTGGGCGACTGTGACGTCATCGTCTCCGAGCTTTGTCAGCGGCTGGGTGGGACTTGGAGCGGTTTGTCAGATGATTTGGAAATTCCCTGTGTGAAAAGATTGCGATCTTTGCCAGCGAAGCTGACTTCAGTTGAGGAACGTATCGAAGAGAGGGGTCACTCGTCGGGAGAGAAAGAAACGTCTGAGGTAAGTATAATGGATAGGTGTTAGGGCGTTTTTGTTTGCGTGCTAAAGAATAACAAACAACAACAACAACAACAACAAAAACAGAATCAAAGTAACCAGGAAGACCAATTACAACAAGTATTATTCCAAGGAGGAAACAAGAACTCAGATTAAACAACTGTCTCATTTGCGAGAAATTGAGAGTGGCTAAGCTGCGATCGATTTTAGTTTTCTTGAGCAATAACTGAAGAAAATGAAGCAAGCCCAGTACAATCCCGGAGTGCCTTTGCTCTACAAAGACCAGCTGATCACGTGACAAATTATGGTTAAACTTGCCGCTAAAATTTGATGAAGCACAAAAATAGAAAGACTGTGGTGGTTCATACCAGTCGATACCGGCCTAATCATCGAGTTAACAGGAAAAAAAGACGTCACGTGACAACCCTTTTGAAAATTGCCGAACAAGATTGCTACAAACTGTATTGTTTGTTCTTATCAGCAGAAGCGGTTTCGTTTTATTAGTGGTTGCCCCTTCCTTCTGTTTCTAACCTTACTTTAATCTGTTTTCCCTGACGATGATTTCAAGTTAAAACTAAAGCATTGATTGATTATCAGACTATTGGCCGTATTTTTTAGACGATGTGTTGACTTTTGTACACCGCAGAATGTACCAAACAATGAAGACATATTGCACGATGAAACGCAAGTGCGAGATGCTGTAAGTACACCCAATCAACTCGACGGTCACGTGACTGTTGGTGAGAGTAGTGGCTGTAGTGACACTGGTGACGAGTTAAACCGAGAGCATCCGAGAGCTTCAGCTACTGGAGAAGAAAATAAACATTCTACAAACAACGGCACAATATGTGAAGAAGGTATATTTTATATACTCTTTATAGTTTTGTAGTCTTCTAGGGAAGATCCATGCAACTTAACACATAGCAGCAGTGAAAAGAACCGGATCGACTGTCTTCTGACCTAATATAGATTAACTGGGAGTAGTAGAAACTCTCTAATATTGAGTTTTTTTATTTTTGTTTATTTTCATAACTCATCATTTCTAGATTCTCCCCGGTTCATCTTTAAACCACCTTGCCGTTATATTTTCTACGGTGCCGAATTGATGGACTCGCCATTCCCCTCCCCCTCAAGAAACATGACGAGCTTCTTAGATAGTACAAGTGAGGAAAGTGACAGCGACAGTGTGGGTGAAATCGATGATAACGAAGCTGGTGGCGATCAGTTGGATGGAGTGATCGAGGATGTGATAGGAGTTAAAAAAAGTATTGACAATGGCCACCAGACATTAGCAAACGATGGCATGTCACCGATTACTCACAGCATTGAAAGCGAAAATAATAGCGACGACGGTTTTGGAGAAGGTGATGTGGAGAAGGTACTGAAGACTAGCAACAGTGACGTGACCAAACAAACCTTGTCTCTAATCTTAGGTGGCTTGAGTAGCTACACATGCGCAAGCGAAGAGAATAGTCGTTTGTCAGTTGGATCTGATGATCCGGCGTGTGCGGGCTCAGGTGATCCTTGCTGCTTGTCGAAAGCGACGGAGACGCTGTTGACTGACCGCCCCTTCAGTGTGGTTACCATGGGAACAACGCTGACCAAAAGAGAGAGCCTCGAGATTGAACACCAACATCGGTTTAAGAAGACAAAAACAGGAGACTCTGAAGACAGCCAGAGGTGCGATGATTCAGTGCAGCCAGAAGCAGAAGTCAATGTTACTAATGATGACCATGTGTCGCATTCGTGAGCTAAATCGCTATTTATTCCACACAGAGTCTGAGTACTATTTTGTTGAAATACGCATCATAATTATTTTATATATATAGCGCATATTTCTTTTTGACCAAGTGTTTGTAAGTGAAATCTTTACCACCCGAAAGTGTATGGCTCAGCTCTAGCTGTTATCATTCACACGGAAAATTATTCTGAGTAACTCCCCATTCTAGCGCATACAGAGAGGGGTAGTGTTCAACGCCGTTACCCGTCGCTTTAAAGTCTCAACGTAACTGATAATAGAAGAAGATTTAGGTCGTGAGCGGTAACTCACTGACCACGCTTACTTCGTTTAACCTTGCAATTTTTTAGTCAATTACTCACGAGTTCATGTTAAAGTTCGGCAACTTACTCGATAACCTTTTAATAAAGCCCCCACCAGAGACTCGCGAAATAGAGCTCCGTTTGTCTCAGTGGTGTGCCCCAATACTGACCTCCGTCTCTCGCGGGCGCGACTTTCTGCGCGTGCGTGTCACTTAAATCAAAAGCCTATTACGTATGCTACCTTTTGTTTGCTTTCAGCCAATTGTGCTGTTCTATAATTCACGTTTGGTCAAGGGCAGTGACAATGAGAGCTGACTGTATTCGCGGCCAGCTTTTTCAGTAATATCTCATCTGATGTGTTTGCGCCAGTACTGAGTGCAACCTTTTTTCTAACTTTGTTCTTCCCCTGGGAAACCTTTGGGATTTGTTTACAAATTCCCACATCTCCGAACCATAACGATTTCCCTGGGTGATGCTTTCAGTAGGAATCACTGCTGCGTAATGAAGTAATTTCCACCCCGCGCAATGGTAGTAGTATGCTCGTGTGTAAATGGATACAAATTTACAATATACAGCATTGTACAATATTTATCTCTTACCCTTTAGCTTGGGAATTATTAGATGAGTTTGAGGCTCGTTGTACGGAACATTAAATTGCGAGAGCCTTAAAAACTGTAAATCAGGTGAAGCTGGGATGGGGTTTGGTGTACAATTTTAGGTATGACTGCCGTTGCAAAGTATTTGTAATAAACTGTTCGGAACAGGGAATTAATGAGATTGTCTCGATGATTAGTGGACATTTTTACGGTTAAAAGTGTGGAAGAGGAGTTAACGTCATGACAGCAAGAGTTGCAGCGGGACCTTAGCCTGGGTACCCTGTGGGTCAGCCGGAAAAAAATTTTCAATTATCGATGAGGATCTAGATTAATTAAAAGTAAGATTTCAGTCTGGTCCTTTCCATATGAAAAACCTTTGAGCTCAATTATCGAGATGTTGATAACAAAAGCCAAGAAACCATCGCAACGATTTCCTTATAACCTCAATCAGGAGCCCACAAAACCATGGTTTGGAACTGTTCGTCACGATCACAAGGTACCGCTAAAAAAAAAAATTTTGTTTCGCCTTTGATCTTTATTTTTGCAGCAGTTATGACCTTTACACATAGTAGTGAAGAAATACAATGACAATGACAATGACAAATCGTGTTTTTTTTCTCAAATTAAAAACCAAGACTTAAAGCTACAGTAAATTATGCCATCCCATTCAGCTATGAGCGTTCGTTGAGCTTTGTACGGTTTGCTTCGTTCAACTATTTTATCTTTAAAGTTACTTCAGGTGACATCTGCGTTGTGTTTTTTTCTTATTTTATAGATATAAATTTTACCCAACTATTTTTTAGTCTACTGTTCAAATTAACGTTTTCTGTCTTTTCAAACCGATAACAATAAGATTCGCAAGTAAATTTAACAATTCAACAACGAATAAAAGGCAGAAATAACGCAATATCAGAGGAGTTTTTAAAAGTTTTGCTCAAAGTTTAAAGAACTTTCAGATGTCCTCATCCTTAAATCGTCACCGTTTTCTTCAAAGCAAACACTGTTGTGACAATTTAAACATCCCATGCCTGTAATAAGAGTCGTTAAGAGTGGTTAAGTCACATAAGGAACCTCTTCAGTAAGGAAGTTTTTTAGTTTCCTTTCCATTGATAACGAGCGAAGGGTTATTGGCCTTTTTTCCGGACGAGGATAAGCTGACGAGGTGTACAGTAACTGGCTCACTAGCTACTGAAAAACATGAATACAGTCATCATCAACGACATACAAGTTGCCGGTAGTAGATGCAGCTATTGAATTTCCTTTCTGTTCGACCTCTATTTTGTAAAGAAAGTTGCCTTCCACTGTGAACACCTTAAGCGTCCTATTATGATCCTCACTCACAATCAGGTTGTCAAACTTGTCAATGACAAGACCACCTGGTCTCGTCAACCGTCCCTCGGCGGATCCCTCACCACCAATATCATACAGAAACACTCCATCTTTGTTGAACGTTTTGACGCATGCATCCCGCCAATCATAGGACACAAAGAACATGTCCTGATGATAAACAGAAAACCGCGGGAATTTTAGAAAGTGTGGATCACTGGAGGACTGTAATAATTTTGTACCATCAGGGGAGAGGACTTTTACTGAACTGTTACCCCAGTCACAAACGATTATGCTTCCATCGTGCGAAACAGACACCGCCACCGGCCGTGTCAGGTACCCTTGGCCGATTTCTTTAATTGAATCTCCGCTTTTGTCAATCAAGTACAATTTTCTGTTGAAGTTGGAAAGCAGAATTGCAACGAAACTGCCATTTATGGTGAAGTCCATGGAAAGTATGATGTCCTCCAACCAAAAATGCCTTACGAATGAATGATCAGCACTGAGTATTAGCATGAATTTATCCCGTGTGACTGCGATCTCGTTAGTCTCCTTGTTAACCGCAAAAGCAGAGGAAAACGACCCTTCATCCACTGTTATATCAAACGCACGTTTGTATTGATATGGAGACATCTCTACACTCCAGGGACTGCCAGTCAGCGGCTGACCATTCACTGTAATTGTTACGCTGTGCGGACCTACAATATCGGATGTGAAGCTCACAGTGTAGTCACCATTCAGATTGTCTTCAATCTTCTTTTTTACAAAGTTTCCTGACGGAGCCTGAATTCTTACATCAACTTGATTATCTGCCTCATAAAAAAGATGTCCTTTCGCATCCTTCGTCGAAAACAAGATTTTTATTTTTCTTCCAGCCTCTGCTTTGAACACATCTGTTAATAGGAGAAAAGAAAAGAACTCACCATTCCGTTTTTGTTTTTTTACGTGCGTGTATGTCTTGAACGATAACATTTGAAAGTTTTTCTTTAAATAGGTGACTCTTGCTTACAGTAACGAATTGCCCTTTGATTGTTCGGCTTGTGGTAAAACTGCATGGTGTAAGCTGATTTGTCAGTGATGTCAACAATCAACTTGCTGAACATGATCGACTTACGAACCACGCTATTGACTGAAACTCTGCGCAGCACTAATTATTTTCAACGACTGAATCTGAAAAGCTGGTTTACAGACTCCCCTAAACAGGTGTCAATTACTATCGGCTCCATACAAACGACTTATGTACGATATTAACATTTAAAACGAACCGAACCGTACGACCTAACTGTACCGACGGATCGAAATTGACCAATCACGACTGACTTACGATAAGTCGTGATTGAGACTTACAGCCAATAACATCACGGCTAAAGTGACGTTATTAGTAACGACCAAACCTGAACAATTTCATCACGAGTTTGTCTATAGTGTGAAAACGGCAAAACGAATGGGACACGCACCAAAACTTCTCAAATTGTTTACCAGTCCAGAAAAGTGAGCTCG